GTTGACGTCTGCCTCGGATAGGGGAGGAGGCTGTCTCAGATGGGGGTGCGAAAGATTGGCCAACTCCTGTCGAATAATAGTCGGCACCTCCCGTAGAATGATTGCCGACACCTCAGATAATATTTTGGCTATAACATTAGCCATTTCAGCCCGTACACACGTGCGAATATCCTCAATAAAGGCCGACCCATCTGTTGACCTCACCTCTTCCCGGTGCAACTATCTTCACCCTCAGTCTGGGCCCGCTTCCTCAGGTGCAGAGCCAACGTGGAAATCGGTGTCGAGTCTTGTATACGGTGACCGGTCGGGTTAAGCCGTCGCAAAAATCTGGGCCCCTGAACAACATCCAAATTCGAGAGGTCCAACAGGGCATCTCTTTCTCATACTGTTGGGTTCGATATACTGTATGGAACAGAGTTTACAGCGGAATTTAAAATTTTTAAGTATTTATCTTATAAATACTTATTTCGTTCATAAGTATAATGAGATAACAAATAAGCATCATTTAAAATCTAGTAACTTTTACTAATTTTGATTTGATATGTAATTTAAAAATTACCTTTGTTCTTAAACTCCTTCAAAACCGACGATGTATAAGGAAATCAATTCCCGGTTTGGTAACGATCACTTATTGTGGTTACTCAATTTAGGAATCCAAATGTCTTCCCTCTAATCGTATAGACCTTTTGAACTTTGGTTTCGACTATAGTTTCTTCGCTAGTAGAAACTACTCAGTTTTTCAAGAAGTATAGAATATATATTTATAAGGAAATTTTACAAGAACTCTTTCTTGTTTTATCACTCAACTCTTTGAATGTTTTTCTCTTGAAAGAATTTAGCTAAACACTTAGCAATTAATGTGCATACATTTTGCACCTATTTATACTAAACATTTTAGCATAAAATAATCAATATTTGATATATTTTATTTTAAATAAATTCAGATTTTATTTAAATAATCATACCAAATATTGAATTTTAATTAATAATGTGGAGTGGTTTACAACCACCATTATTGTATTAAGAAAAATAAGATTAATTATGTGGATTGGTTAACAACTCCAAACCACCATAATTAATTTATTCTTATTAATATTTAATCTTCAATCATATTAAAGATAAATAATAAAATAATAATTCTTGAAAATATTTTTCAAGACTTTGATATTTTAATTTATTCTTCCATTTCCTTATTTAATAATCTTATTATTATTTGGATTTGAAATTTAAAATCCAATTTTAAATTCCAACTATTAATTAGTAATTCTATTAATTACTAAATTAATATCTAAAATTCAATTAATTAATCTAATTGATTAATTTAATATATTCCTTTAATTGATATCGAATCAAATTAGATTTGTCAATAATTCTAACTCTTTAGAAATACCATTTGAATTTTACCTTCATTCAAAAATTGGTG